GACCTGCAAAAACACACACCTTATCATCCACATGGCATAGAAACACACTTTAACTGTGATCTTTCTGACAAGACTGTACAAAACCAGGTTTTGGAAATATCACAACAAAATGCTACAGGGGGAGAACTCCAAGCCTTTGACTCCCCCCCCCATTCCCCACGACTGCTTGAAAAATAGGCAGGGGGAAATGGCATGGGGCTCTAGAGTATTGCACCAATTTGCAACATCACTTCTGAGGGGCTGGCAGGTCCGGCTGAGAAAATATGACAGGGTATTAAGCCCCACTACTAAGTGGGGGATTTGAACACAAGCCTCCTCAATCCACTTTTGACTAAATCACACTGGCAGCGAGGGACAGACAGGATCCTCCCAGCTAGCTCTGGACCCACCTATCAAGGGCTGGCAACCTCCAAGTGGTGCCTGGAGACCTCCCAGAATCACAAACCTCCAGACTACAAAGATCAAATCCTCTGGAGAAAATGGCAACTTTGGAGGGTGGACTCTGCTGCATTGCATCCCTGCCAAGCTCCCTCCCTTCCCCAAGCCCCACCTTCTCCCGGCTTCACCCCCAAATGTCCAGGAATTTTCCAAGATGGAGTTGGCAATCCTACCTAAACTGCAGCCCAAGACATCGTCTTCCTTCTCGGCTTTGCTGAAAAAGTGAAAGTAAGCAGCTGGTCTTCCTCACCCCCCCCCCCTTCACATGCATCTTGGCTCCACCTGGCTACTTCCTCCACGGCCAACCCACACACGCACCTCCAATGCCGACAGTGGAGTTTGAGTCCCACTCCCGGCCCCCAATTCTTATTTTCTCATTTCTGAGGCTACGGTGCAACCCCCATGTAATTTATGGCTCTGATTAATCATCGTGAAGTCAACTATCCGTTCAGTAACAGGACAGCACATCCTGATTTCCAAGGCAAAGCTTCTCTCTAGGGCAGAAAGGTGGTCTATCATTAAAATAATAATAATAATAATAATAATAATAATAAACACCTGTGCTTTCACATAAAAGACTGCGGGGAAGGGCTGGGGCTTTTCCATTTCTAAAGTCATATGATGATATGGAAAACAGCCCTCTCTACTATGCTTTTCGACTGAAGGAGTTGCTTCTATCTTTCCCTTAGCCACATGTGAAAACTGTAGTTCTCCCTGGGCATGAACAGGTATTTGTACCTTACAACTCAGAGTACTTGGGCTCCACTCTCTCACTTTCCATTTCCAAATCTTTTCTTTTTTTTCACACATGCAAGCAGCAGAACATAAGAAGAGCCCTGCTGGATCAGACCAGCATCCTGTCTTACACAGTGGCCAATTGATTCTTCTGGACGGCCCACAACAGGGTTCTTCATATCTGTGTCTAGACTAAATAGTCCATGCTATGAATTTTTTGCAACACCATTTTCACAGTGGGTACCAGGTTTACATCCTCTGCACAGACCAGGCTGGATATGATCTTTTACAGCACTGACTCTTTATTTAAGGTTTGGGGTTTTAAAAACAACAACACTTTTGTTCTCTGGCTGACTGGGGAGTAATCCTAAGAAGGTCTACAAAGGCCCTGGTCACACGGAGAATTTGCCACACGAAAGGCACAAATGTCGGGCGGATTTTCGGGGCGCGATCACACCGCAACATCTGGGAAGCGTAGTGCACCTGTGGCCAACCTGTGGCGTCCCGCCGAAGATGTGGAGTTAGAAAGTGCACTAGTATCTGGAAAATGCACGGCACAGGTGGGCGTCTGATCACGGGAGTGCTAGTATCCCGTGGCATCCGGCGCCCGTCCATGTCCCGTCACAAACCAGATGTTTTTCATAAGCGCATGCGCACAAACACAAAACTGAAAGCAGTGCTGCCCTGCAGAACTGCGCATGCACACAAACGCGAAACGTTTGTGTGATCGTGCCACCCCGTTTCTTTGCCACGTTGCAGCATCGCTGTGTGATCACCAGCTAACAGCCGAAGCACGGAGACTCGGGGGACCGTGTGATCGGACTACCACGCTTTATTTTGCTCCGTGGTGAACAGCCACGTCTCTCCCCTGCATTATCTGACCCGTGTGACCGGGGCCTCAGAAGGAAGTCTCATGTTATTAAATGGCACTTGCTTCCAGGAAAGTGCCACTGGGATTGCAGCCTGGTTCACTGTTCAGAAAGCAAGACGAAGATGAGGCCGCCCTGGAGCCATTGCCTTAAAAGGGGCATAACTCATTGGCTACCTCTTAGCTGTCTCCTAAACGATATAAAAGTCATGACTAATGAGACAAGAGCCTCATGATGTGCCAGCCCAATGAGGATGCGGAATCATGACCCTTGCACATACATCCTGTGAAACATTGGTTAATCAAAGAAACGTGCTGCAAAAGGTTAGTGACTTAAAGACTGCGAACTCTGGGTTGGGAAATTCCTGAAGATAAAGGGGGTGAAACCTGGGAAAGGCAGAATTTGAGGAAGGGGGAATGGAACTCAGCAGAATGTAATGGCCACAGAGCCCACCCTCCAAAGCAGCCATTTTCTCCAGGGAAAGTGATTTGTATGGTCTGGAGATCACTTGTGATTCCAGAAAATCTCCAGGTTCCACCTGGAAGTTGGCAACTAAGAATTACACTGTACTTTCATGCCTGACAAGGGCTCTAATTTCATGGTAATACTTCACTTCAGCAGGCAGTCCTGACTTAGAATAGGGGTCCCCAACCTTTTTGAGCCTGTAGGCACCTTTGGAACTCTGACACTATGTGGTTGGGCACAGCCACAAATGGCTATCGCAAGAGGCAGATTTAGCCACGAAACGGCTGCCACAGCTTACATTCAGTCACACAATGAAGATGACCATTGCTGTGGTGGCAGCTGCTGCGAAAGCAAAGTTTTTAAAAACCGGCACAGCCAGTCAAATTGGCCGTGGCCAATCATAAGCCTTCCTGGGCAAAAGCCCCACCTGGTCCCACCCACTTTCTGAAAAAAAATGGCGGGTTCCATCTTGCCCATGAGCACCACGTTGGGGACCCCTGATTTAGAAAGACACAGAATAGAGACAGGCACAACCAGAGAGTAAGTGGCCAAGTGCAAACAAGACATTCTCCATCAGATTTTCCTCTATATGCATAGGGGTTTCCCTGTCTGGAATACAATCTCTCTCTAGACCAGGCTTACATTAAACATATCAGAGCACATGGCACGTACAAGCAGCACAAAACAGGAACAAAGCATTATAACCAACACAGCCCTCACCTCCTTCTCACATCTGGGGTGAGCAACGCCCAGGCCAGCCTTGCATGGTTGCAGTGTGTGTAGAGACGGGAAGTGAAGCACACAGCGTTGTAATTGCTCAGAGCAGGACCAAGCTGCCCGGGCCATTGTCTTGAAAGTGGCAGAACTTGTTGGTTACCTCACCACTGGCTCAAGAGTTGCAAGAAAATGCCCTTGTCCTCTGCTTCAAACAAAACCATTCTCTGCCTGGGAACAGTGCTTTTGTATGCCAAGCTTCCACAGGAAAGACAGGACAAAAATATACTCAATTTTTTAAAAACTGTCAAGCTGTGAGGAAGAAACACGGGTTTTCAATTCTTTATTTGGGGGCGATTTTATCTTGATCTGTGGGTTGCCAATTGCCCTGGAGAGCAAAATGTCCTGGCCCCTTAAGAGCAGCTTAACCTGTACAAATGATCAAAGGTATAGATGCAAATCATACCACCTGGTAAATAACAATTCCGTTGAGGCTGTAGTAAAAGGGACAGGACAGTTTCCTCCAGGTCAGTTGGCCATCCTTGATGGGGAAAGCTTTACTCAAGAGTAACACTTCATAGCTTGGTCAGAACTTTCACCCTCCTTCTCGGGAGAAAGCCTAAAAATGCCAAAGCCCAGAATGCAGAGGTCGTGGTGACAAAGAAAAGGGGCTACTTTCAGCTTGGCTTTAGAAAAGCACTCTGTCTTGGGAAATTCCTAGAGATCAAGTGGTTAAGATGCTGAATTGCAGACCGGAAGGTCAGTAGTTCAGCAGTTTGAGACCCGAGTGCCGCATGGAGTGAGCTCCCGTCTCTGGCCCCAGCTCCTGCCAACCTAGCAGTTCAAAAGCAAGAAACGGCAAGTAGATAAATAGGCACCGCTTCAGTGGGAAGGTAATAGCATTCCATGCACCTCGGCATCTAGTCATGCCAGCCACATGACCATGGAAGCATCTTTGGACAGTGCTGGCTCTTCAGCTTGGCAACAGAGATGAGCACTGCATCCCTAGAGTCGGATTCGACTGGCTTTCGAGCAAGGGAAACCTTTACCTAGCTTGGGGAAGGTGGGTTTCAGGGAGGGATTTCAGCGGGGTATAAGGCAACACAGTAGCCATTTTCTCCAGGGGAACTGATCTCTGTATTCTGGAGACCAGTCAATGCTCCTTTTAAGCTGTGGAGTCTCCTGAGCAAAAATTCTACTTTGTGAGCTACCAGCATTAAAGTTGTGAGTGAGCAATTTGGCTGCTGCTGCATACATTAGATTGCTCTGGAGCCTTCCTCCCTGAGCTAAGACAAGAATGTGTGGGCCGGAGGTTAAAAAAATGTGAGCTAGCTCACACGGACTCAGTTTAGAGGGAACACTTGTCGTAACTCCAGAAGACCACCAGGCTCCACCTGGAAGTTGGCAACAAAAACTACTACAACAAAACTAGTCCTGTTTGGAGGCAGGTCCGTCCGTGTTGAAAACTCAGGGATTGAAAAAAAAGATTTAATCCCCCCGATTCGGATTAGGACCACCATGAAGGGTTTAACCTCCTAACCAAGCCGTTCTTCCTCTGAGGGAACATGAAGGGGGAAAAAGGCATTTTCGTCGCTCAAGACGACGGGAACAGAAGCCTGCACAGAGGGGGCGTGGCCAAGGTGGCGGAGTCTCCATAGCAACGAGCAACGGCCGCCTACGCCTCAGTCCGACACTGTTTTGCACGTGGAGCGGAACCTTCGGGAACTGGGGCAGCGTTTCCGGGGGGGAGGTTTATAGCATGCTCTTAACGGCGTTTCCGCTGCTTTAGTCCGTGGTCGGAGGGGGGTGGGGGCTGCTGGTTTTCTGTTGTCATGGTGGGCAAAGTGGTGAAGCGGTCTCGGTTGCACCTGGTGGCGCCGAAACTGCCTAAGCCGACCTGGGGCTTGGGTCAGGCAACGGTGGAGGAAGGAGTCGGGACTTGGCCGGGGCCTCCCGAAAAGGTAAAAAGGAGGAAGGGATGACTGGTGCTATCTCGGGGGGAGGAGGGAGGGAGGGAGTAAGTGAGTAAGTGCTGGGTGTTAGGGTTGCCAATCTCCAGGTAGTGGATGGATACTTCCCGCTATTACAGCTGATCTCCATGCGACAGAAATCGGTTCACCTGTAGAAGACGGCCACTTTGGAAGATGAATTCTATGGCATTATGCTCCGAACTCCGCCCTTATGAGTCTCCAACCCCAAAATCTCCAGGTATTTCCCAACCTGGAGCTGGCAGCCCTATGATACGTGGGAATTCTGCATGTGGGGAAGCGTGACGGTGGGGCCCGCGTGTTTCGAGCTCGTGGGACCTTTTCACAGTTCTCCTCTGCACGTCTAGGGTGGTGACTACAGGCTTACTTGGAAGACCCGATGGACGTGAAGGGGGCTACTCCTGAGTAAATATGATAAATTTTCTACCCTGGTGCCTTTGCTTGGGAATGTAGAAAAGGCTTGGTGGGGGGTTGTCTGTGTCATGCCACAGGCCATCAGATCAGGTGTTCTTTCATTACATTTAACTCAAATTACCAGAAAACCTGAAAGCCAAATGTGAAAGTGACTCTCCATGTATGTGTTTGGAGTAAAAAAAAAACCCACTGTGCTTTAATCTCAGGTCTATAAGGGGAAAAAACTGTTCCAATGTCAATACTTTGAAAAGGGTTGGATCCAAGATAGGGTTTTTTTTAATTGCAAATGTGTGAGCACAAATGTACAGTTTTTGCGTGTTACTATCTCTGTGTATTGACTCTCCTAGTCCATGCTTTCTTTGTGTTCAGATTATCCTTTCATGTGCATTCTTCACTGGAGAGCCAGTGTGATGCAGGGGTTAGAGGGTACATCAGGTTCTTAGAGAACCAGGTTTGAATCCTTCAGTCGCCATGGAATCTTACTGGGTTACAGTTGGCCAAATACTCTCTCAGCCTGGCCTCCCTTATGGGGGGTAGTTATTAGAGTAATCTGGAGGAGAAGAGAACAAAGTCATTAGTTGTTTTGGGTCACATCAACAGTTGGATTTGTGGTCATTTCATGAGAAGCGATCTGTTTGTTGATCTAGGCCAGGGGTGGCCAAACCTGTTTGATGTAACAACCACACAGAATAAACGTCAGATGTTTGAGAGCTGCAAGACAGGAACAAATATTACACACACGTTTTTATTGAAAAACATGCAGATTTGCTTTTTATTGACATTAAATTAGACTGTGTGAAAGAGAAGAAGAAGAGGAGATTGGATTTATACCCTGCCCTTCACTACCCAAAGGAGTCTCAGAGCAGTTTACAAACTCCTTTCCTTTCCCCTCCCCACAACAGACACCCTGTGACAATGTTCCTTCTAAGCGGTGGAGTTTTGTGAGCAAAAATTCTACTTTGTAAGCTACTGGCATTAAAGTTGTGAGCAAGCGATTTAGCTACCGCATAAATTAGTTTGCTCTGGAGCCATCCTTCCTGAGGTAAGACAAAAATGTGTGAGCCGGAGGCTAAAAACTGTGAGCTAGAGGCCTGTGAGGTGGGTGGGGCTGAGAGAGCTCTGATAGAAGCTGCTCTTTTTCAAGAACAGCTGTGCCAGAGCTATGGCTTCCCCAAGGTCATCCAGCAGGTGCAAGTGGAGGAGTGGGGAATCAAACCCGGTTCTCCCAGATTAGAGTCAGTGCACTTAACCACTACACCAAACTGGCTCCCGAGCTGCAGTTTGGACACCCCTGCTCTAGGCCACTACAATAGCCCAGAGAGGCAAACATTTTCAGTTCCGTGCAGCAGCTGCTGGTACACTGCTGCACAAAGCATGCTGCGTACTTCTCCTTCTGCAGTTCTCCAAATTCAGTTACCAAAATCAGTCATCGCTATACAGGGCAACCTGTGAAAACACCAGTCTTTGCATAAGTGAAAACTGTAGTCCATTATGACCTTGAGGTTTGTAATTTGGTTTTTTGCCCCTGAGAACCAATGGCGTATAGTTGTTAACGTGTCAGTCTAGGATCTGGGAGACTCGGGTTCAAATCCCCACTGTGCCATGGAAGCTTGCTGGGTGACCTTGGGCCATTTGCACATTCTCAGCTTAACCTCTACCTCACAGGGTTGTTTTGAGGATGAAGTGGAAGAGGAGAGAATGTCGCAAGCCATTTTGTGTGCCATTGGTGATTTGGTGGGGTATAAAAGAAGTAATTTTTTTTAAAAAAATGCATATGCCCCCAATTTTAAATTACTCTGCTTCCAACATAGTTTTCCGATCCTCCCTCCGCTTTCTCCCTTCTTTGCTTATGAATTCTATTTGCAAGCTAATCTTATGCACACTAACTAGAGAGCAAGTCCCACTGAACTCACCAGAACTTAATTTCCAGTAAAGATGCACAGAGATGCCCTGACTTGGATAGCCCAGGCAAGCCCACTCTTGTCAGATCTCGGAAGCTAAGCAGGGCTGACCCTGGCAAGTATTTGGATGGGAGACCTCCAGAGAATACCAGGAGTTGCCAGAGGGAGACCTCCAGAGAATACCAGAGTTGCCCCAACTTTCAGGCATGGTCACACACGCACATAATGCAAAAACCCAGTAGGAGTTGCCAGAGGTCGCCCCAATTTTCAGGCATGGTCACACACGCACATAATGCAAAAACCCAGTAGGAGTTGCCAGAGGTCGCTCCAACTTTCAGGCATGGTCACACATGCACATAATGCAAAAAAGAAAAAGAAAACCCAAACCCCAAAACATCCAAGATGCACAAAGGCAATGTGGCGTGCTGCTTATTTTTTTTTGGGGGGGGGGGTCTGTTTTTACTTTAAATCATACTCTTTGTATATAAACTGAGTAGCTTCTGCTGCCACCAGGAATTCAAAATTCCAAAAATCTCTTTCTGCTGCTGGTAATATGACCTAGGGAAGTGGTGGCGAACCTATGGCACGGGTGCCAGAGGTGGCACTCAGAGCCCTCTCTGTGGGCACACGTGCCATCGCCCCAGCCAGGCCCAGACCATCATTAAAGTGTCGAATTCTCTGCCAAATAATTTTAAGTAAATGAAAGCATTTGGGATTGCTTTCCTTACTTTGTTTGGATCATCTTAAGTTAATGTATGAGTTGTTTTTTCTAAAGTAAAACCTCAGTATTCAGGTTAAATTCCCGTGTTGGCACTTTGCGATAAATAAGTGGGTTTTGGGTCACAGTTTGGGCACTCGATCTCTAAAAGGTTCGCCATCACTGAACCCCAAAACATCCAAGATGCACAAAGGCGATGTAGCGTGCTGCTTATTTGGGGTGTGTGTGTGTGTGTGTGTTTTTACTTTAAATCATACTCTTTGTATATAAACTGAGTAGCTTCTGCTGCCACCAGGAATTCAAAATTCCAAAAATCTCTTTCTGCTGCTGGTAATATGACCTAGGGTCTGGGCATTTCAGAGGTTTATGTGACCCTGAGGAAGGATTGAACTGAATTCTGGGATATACTTAAACAAAATTTTATTTATTGATTAAAAAACAAAAATAAGTTGCTGGTTATCTTAAACTGTTTTGGGAATAAAGAACTTGTAAATATAACTGGGTAGGTATCACACACAGTCCTTCTGGCACTAAAATTCCACACTGACAGGAATGTCTCTTTCATATGGGCAGCCACACTGGCTAAGCTCTTTGTCTTATGGACTCTCAAAACTTTAGAGTCACACAGACTCTCCTCATAGCTCTTCCACACTTCACTTTCCAAGGACACATACACAGAACTCATTAAGTTTCCACACAGAACTCTGTCATATCACTCACTGAATTCCCTCAACACACACAGATTCACTCAGAACAACTCCTTCCACACTCTCAGTCATCCACCAATCCCAGCACACTTGTCTCCCTATATCACTCTCCTTCCAGCACTGCACTCAAACCAAACATTTAAAGACACACACCCACTAAAACAAGGAATCATTACGGATGGGCTTTCACTCTTCAGGTGAAAGGACCTCCATGGAGTAAGCTGCTGTTCTGACAACTTGTGGTGTGTCAAAGGGGCACCCACATAGTTTCAATCAATAGTAAAACAAGCAGGCCTATGCTACAGTATTTTGTTTGTTCTTAGAAAATCCCACACTTTTAACAGCAATTATGGTTGCAGCATCTTGGAAAATAAGGCTTGGAAAGATGAGTCTGTTATAGTTATGTGTTCTCCACCAGATGGTGATGCAGGACACCTTTTGGAGATAACCCTGTCTGTTATCTTCCTGTCAAAACCGAAGCAGGACCATGCATTTTTCTAAGCATTTGTTGAATGGAGACCCTGTTCTTAGTAACTGCAATCTCTTCTATTTATTAATTAAAACATTAATACCCTGCATTTCCTCTTTCTGTCCTCCAGTGGAAAACTTTTATTTAAATGAGGGAAGCCTGTAACAAGCTCTGCCTTACAGTGGCCTCACCCACTTTCTGAAAAGCTTAGCAGGCTCCATGGATCAAATCCCCAAATTCTGTTCTCTCTCTTTTTAAAAAAAGATTTTATTGATTGTTCCAATACTACGGGTCATGGGGAAGGGATACTAATACCCTATCTCTAAATCTAATGGAAACAGGGATTAAAAAAGAAAAGAAAAGAAACTATTGGAATCGGGGAAGGAGAAAATTCTGTTCTCTTAACTCAGCTCAGTTGTTCCGTATAGTTATTAAGGGCCTTGGTTGATTATCAAGTCAGGCAGAGAGGTTTATCTTGAGCTGTGTTACACTGAAGTGTTTGTTCCAAAACCTTTGGCAAACGCTCGTCCTTCCCTTTCCTTTTTAATATCTTATTTTTTCTTAGATCAAAGATTGAGTCCAACAAAATTTAATTCTGGGTATAATTCTGGGTATAAGCTGGATATAATAGTCTCATCTTTCCAAGCCTTGTTTTCCAAGATGCTGCAATCATAATTGCTGTTAAAAGTGTGGGTTTTTCTAAGATACTGTAGCACAGGCCTGCTTATTTTACCATTTATTGAAACTATGTGGGTGCCTCTTTG